GGCTCACCCCGCCCCCTCAGCCAGGGTTGCGTGGTTATTTTACCAACACTGGGGGGGCTTGAGGTAGAAAAGGGGTGGATGGAAGCCTAGAAGATTTTCTTCCCACCCCCAGTCCCCTCCTTTCTTCACATCTTTTAACCTTCAAGGTAAAGACTTTATAAATATGAAATCCTAAGCGAGTCCGCTGGCTCCCGGGCCCGCCCGGGCTGTCGGGGCTGAGCCTCGGCCTCCTTTTCGTGCTGCCGGCGTCGGGCCAGTTCGGGATCTTCGGGTGCAGGGGACGGCCGGTGGGGGGCGCTCAGCCTGTGGCTCCTTCTCTCCGGGCTGCTGCCTCGACAGCTGCTTGTAGCTACAGTAATTAGACTGTCAGTGCTTGTTAGGGGAGAGGGGGAAACAGGCTTCTGACAGCAGATTCCGAGACTCCCCGGTTTAATTTCTAAGAGATCTTTAAAGCATTAATTGAGGTCTCCCCAACTCTTCCCTCCCGTCCCCCTCAACTCCTCCCTTCCCAAAAATATCTTTGGGAGAAAATTCCGAGTGGAAGCCGCGTTCCCCGCAGCCCGCCCCGCGCTCACGCACACGCGCCGCGGTTTGCATATACAGAGAGGCGTGCGTGTGTGCGCGGAGGTTAACTCGCAGAGGGCTCGTCCAGATAGGCACCGGGATTGCATTTAAAATAATAATAATAATAAATAAATAAATCAACTAGGAAGGAAAGGGGGGAGGGAAGCAGAAGTCGGGAAGAAAAGAGAAAAGCAGCAGGCTGATTACGAGGTGTCAAAACTGCCAGGAGCAAGAAGGTGATAGCAATCAGGGGTGAGAAGAGTGCGGCATTCGTGCGGGGCAACTAATTATCCGTCTCATTTGAGAAGAGCAGCATTTGAGGCAGCAGCGTTCGCCTGCTGAACGGTGACAGATTGGCGCGGAGGAGAGGGGAGGTGTTAAAACAATGGAGCCGGGCGCGCGAGCGCTGCTGCATGCTAATCAGCCCTCCCTCCGCCTGCCCGCCGCACTCCCTCCTTCCTCCCGGCCGCCCTCCTCCGCGCCC